TAAGTCAATATTGAGATAACTAAGATTTTTTTGAGAGCCTGTATTAAGATTATTAGGTTGTTTTAGTCAGTCAAAAATTAAATTATAATATTTTTTTATATCAATTTTTATTTACTGATTATCATCATTTTTTTCAATTTTCTAATAAACACACCTCCCGATACGGTTAACATATAACTGACCAATAATTGATTTCCATGAGTGTCGTTCTGGTTTCAACGAGTCAGCTCTATAACATTGCTGACCAAACAGCTGTAAGATGTCCCCTAATTCCCTATTTTATTCTTAATTCTTATTTTAGCATACTGTACTTGAAAGTAATTCTAATACTGTTTTGAAAGATTATGCAATTGTAATATACACACAGCACAATACAGTACATAGTGCTGAAGGATTTAGATATAAATGTGGGCGACCATTAGTTATAAGGAATATGCTTTCCATTGTTTTAAACACTATACAAACGCATTGAAACGCTAATTCAACTCCGTGCAACTTCCGGAACCGGTTTACTTGCGATTTGGAAGACAGAAAGCCATTTCAGAAATGATAATTTGTTTCAGTTCAGTTGTTCTATTTATCGCATCGGTCATCATTATCATTTTATATATAAAATAAAATATGAAATTTATTGAGTAATTGGGCTGGAGCGCATTCTTATCTGAGATGTGTGTTGAAGTCTTCAATAATGTTTTTTCGAGCAATTTAAGTAAACATCAACAATCTTCACAAAGCATTCAGGAGTTTTATCTAGATGTATTGGTTAAAGAAAGATAACTCATGTTTCAATTCCTGCTGCGGTCCATTTCCAATCACGGCGCCTTTACTATGACACATTCATTGAAAACTTCGATTAAGATAAAGTAGTTCTTGACTGTTTGATATTTATCTATGTGTGATATTTATATATATATATATTTCACTATATGTGGACGGGTTCACACAGATTAAACAGTAAGTAACTATAGAAACTATGAAATATCTTACAAATTGATCCATCGTACCCTTCAATTCTACACGAGGAGAATGTATAATACTGCACGTAACGAGGCGAATAGTAGAAACATACGTTGTCCACGTGAGAGTTGTTAGGGGACGCCTGAAAGTAATCAGATTTACAGGTAAAATGCGAGTTGTATAGCAGATAGCAGAGATATGAATAAGGCTACTTAACACCAGTGACTTTGGTGTCAGTGTTTAAGATTACAAAAACAGAATGGAATTTAGGCTTGGACGTGATAGACGGCGACATTTGTAAAGGAATAATGCAAAACAATCTTCATCTACCGGATTAAAATTTTACCTTATTGGTAACTTGTGCAGGCGCTGAATGTAGGGATAGCCTTATTGTAGCTAACTGTGTCATGTGTGTGGTTGCAATGAGGAGTATGAGACGATGGTTTGTGGTCCACAGTAGTAGGTCGGACTGCTGAATGCTGTCATTGAGATTGTCGAATGATATCAACAGTTTGGTGTCCATTTATAGATTTGATCAAGCAATCAGTGTCGACGTTTAGTCATTTTCAATGTATATGTAGAGGTACATGTGTGCAAGTGGAACCTCAGTTCAAAAGTCGTCCAAACACAAAAAATCTGATTATCAGCGTTTTGTAAATCGTTTGTTCCTGGTGGTACGAGTTGGGTGTTAGGTGGAATGATGACGGTATAAGTCGGGGAGTGCATTTGTACAGAGAATTTAACATGTGATAACTAGTCGTTTAGGGTATAGAGAGGAAAACAAAAAATATTGTTAATGTGAGGGCCACAAATTGAAAACTCATCTTTATTACGATTTGCTCTCTTGGGGATGCTGCTGATAGCCGTTGTGGTGCTTATTAAGTAGAGTGTCCCAATTTTATTAGTAGCCAGCTCTAACTTATGTCATTGCTTAATTCATTAATTTATTATCCAACATATTTTTTTTTTTTTAAATGTACACGATATTTGCATCTTGCTTCACATCCGATTAGTCGGGAAAGTCTCTACACACTTTGTTTAAATACGAGGTCTGAATGATAAATTGAGAGCCTCAAATTTAAGGGTTTTACTTTTGGTGGGCATACTGCATTATTTTTCGACATCATCCTCTACAATATCTATACACTTTTGCCGGCGATGTTTTAAGGACCCCAAAGCCACTTTTAAAGAAGTCCTTTTCTTTAATGTTCAGAAAGAAAGTCCTCAACTGCATGTATGGCGTCATCATCAGACCAAAAGTGGGTGCCGGAAATGACATATCTCAATTTCAGAAATAGATGGAAGTCTGATGGCGCGAGATCAGGCAAATAAGGCGGATGCTCTATCATTTCAAACCCACAATCGTCATTGGCATCCATGGCAATGACAGACTTGTGAACAGTGGCAATGTCCTGGTGGAACAACACAGCTTTACTGAGTTTTCAGCGGCGCTTAAGTTTAATTATTTTCGTTTACTGCCAACGAAGCGATCCATAATATGTGCCATTTGTTGTTTGTCCCTTGTGCAGATTATCTACCATCAGAATACCATCAGCATCCTTTAAAAACCGAGGTCATAACCTTTCCAGCTGATGGAACAGTCTGTGCCTTCTTTGGCGGGGTTGAACCAGGGTGCTTTCATTTGGCATCTGGGGGTGAAAAAAATGGACCCGGGTTTTTGTCCCTAATCACAAACTTCTGCAGAAAGTTAGCAGGATCTGCCTCTAAAATATTCAGATTAGCACGCGAGAAAGCCCGCACTGCCTGCTTCTGATGAACTGTCAGAAGTCTTGGTTCCCAACGGACTGAGAGTGTTAACATTGCAAGGTCTTCTGTATAAATGGAATGTGCTCTTTCCTATGAAATCCCATCTGTACCGGCTATACATATCTCTGTAACTCGCCTGTCAACCATATCAATGACTTTATAGACGGTTTCTTGGGTTGCAACAGTGACAGGCCTTCCAGGACAGGCGTCATCCCCAAGGCTCTGCCTGCCACGCTTGAATTCCGCTACCAACCATTTCACGGTGGCATATGAAGGGGCATTCTTCACCAGTGTTGCTACCGTATCAGTATGGATATCGTTAGGTGCTAAACATTTCTTATGCGGATATTGAATCACGTCTCTTTCAGCGATTTTGCAAAGGTCATACGTCTTGTTACTTTAGAGTTCCACTTCTTCAACAAAAACGGACCAAATGACACCAGTCTGCGGGTAGACAAGCTTAAATAGTCAGAGAATAGCAAAGCTGTAAAAATGACATTCCTGCTTAACTTCTTCAATACAAGGCTTATCAATCAGCCCTCGTATATATATGTATATCACATTTTATCTAATATCTATCATTCATGTTCAAAAGTGTATATTTTACATAAAGTATACTTTTCCTGACTATTTAATGTCTTTTTTCGGCTTTTAGGAAGGTCCTGTGAATTTGTGGGCATTTAATTTGTCATGACTGAAACTGCGAAACATATCTGATTGTATCACTTTATTGTCAACAAGTATGAAACTGTCATGCTGTGGCAACGAAAAAAAGTCGTGTACCTCAAACCTATGTAACATAATCTAAAAGACACCATGTTATATTTTATTTTACAGTACTTTGACTTAACGTATAGATATGAAAATCATTTAAATACTGACTAACTTGTTTATATTTATTCCAACAGTAAATATACAGCAAGCCACGTATCTTATGAAAAATCGTCACATACAAGTCATACGTCAGTATGTTTTTATATAATTTGTTAAACATCACCGTGTTCAGTGTTATATGTTCAGAAGATAAGTTACAGACAAACAGTAACAAAGAAATAAAGAAAATACAGAGTGACGCCATAAAAAGTGTTTATACTTTATCAAAACCTTCTTTGTTGTTTTCAATACCAGTGACAAGAGAGTGAGATAAATACATACATGTACATTTATATGTTAAAAGATATGACAGATATCAACATTGCATTATTTTTTTTTCAAAACAATATTATCGATATAATGTAAAGAGCACTTAGATATTAGTAAAGCACTTTAGGGAATATAAAAACGCATCAACAATACTAATACAGTATTTCTGATAATCAAAATGAAATCTGGGTTAATTACGTTAATTACCGGAAGTACTTACAGTATGGCATTACAATTAAAGTACATACAATGATTGACATACCGAGTGAAATATATATAACATAAAACATCGTATGACAAATAAAGGTATTGATCACTAATCTGACTTATTTGTAAGATGTGAATTAAGTGATAATTTCATAAACTCACATATTACTAAATCCACGAAACATCACGACAACCACAAGAAATAGGGAAAAAAGACAATTTGTTGTAATTTGGTATCATAACATGCAGATAGAATATACAGAAAAAAGGGTTTTAAAGTACACTTCTGTGCATGCTTTCGTCAACCATGATTTCGTTACAAAACATATTGCTCATAACGACATATTCAAATGTATGATTTGAAGATCTATACAAGCGACTAATTGGTTTGTACATGTTTTATGTAGAATTGAATCTTGATGATACGTTGCTGATATTTAAATCAACCAAAGTATCAGGTTTATATTTTTTGTCATAATACCTTCTTGTTTCCATCTTGTGATCAATTCCTCCGGAATTATTCATAGGTGTTTGATGGATGTGATTGTATAATGAAACACGTCCTTACGATGAAAACTTATATGTAAATTGCAGCATTGTCACAAGTGCATCACTTCCTCCGACAAGTATTTTCTCTTGAAAGTCTCCACCAATGGAGAAATACAAGACACCTATCAATATCCCTGATTGCAACCAACATACACGTGTTTTACCTCTCGACATATTGCCAAGTACACGGACAATGTACTGTAGTTTTAACTTCCTCGTAATACAGGTGGCATTCGCCCAGGATCGGATGAACAATTAAGTCTTATATGTTTCAGTCCGCTCTTTAAAAAAACGGACAACGAATGTAGCAGTAGGGTTAAACGAGGTAGTCAGGTAATGGATTCCAGAAAAAAGCCAGCATCCGACATCCTCTGTCTCTAAACCTGTTCTGTTTCCAAGGCTACCTCTGATTTCTCTGTCGTACCGTTTTCTAGAGGTGGTTGTAGAGCCCAGCGTTTTGGGTTTACGTTGTAGATGTCCTGTCTCTTTAGCAGAGCCCTAGAAATAAATTGTTGAAGTAATGAATATGTGGGAGTTACTTCCCTTACAACGTCTTCCCACAGTCGCATGTTCAATTAATCAATTTTGATAGACGTTATCGAATTTTGATTTAAAGTTTATATTATATAGCTCAGAAAGGTGCTGATACATTGAATATTATTTATTGATATTGCGTATAGATATGAAGTGAAGCCAGTGTCACTGGTTAACATTGGTGTATACAGAATATTATAAACAACGTATTATTCTCCCAGAAACTCTTCTGATACAAGCGTTTTCGGTACATCAGAAGTATATCTAGGTAAAACAGGATAATGGTAGCAACCAATAAGTGTTTAACAATAATTGTTGTACAGTGATTTTATCATGGTTTAATCGCGTCACGTGGTATGGTATTGAATGCGTGCTGACACGTGCATTACAAATGTGTTCCGTGTATACACTTCTGTATAGCTTCTAGATCTTTTGTCACGTGCGAATAACACAGTGGATATATATGACGATGAATTGCAGACACGTGGTGCTTATCGTTTGATAAACACGTACACGTATACATGATATTAGTGAAGCTAGGAAACACTAAGTATTTCATCTTCTTCTACGTGACGATCAATAAACAATCTTTGTCTTATCACATCAGTATGGGTAAAAGAATGTCTATCCTACCAAAGTCATGCTTCTTCAAAGTTGTCTCTCATTCTCTGCGGTCAGTGTTCCAATAACAGTAATACTAGATAGTCACTATTACCTTTAGAACATTACTAGATTGTAAGTATTCCTCTAACAATAATACTAGATAGTCACTATTACCTTTAGAACATTACTAGATTGTAAGTATTCCACTAACAATAATACTAGATAGTCACTTTTATCCTTAAAATAACAGTAGATCAGTATTACCTTCACAATATTACTAAACAGTCTGTACTACCCTTACAATATTAATAGATAGTCTTTATTTCAATTAAAACAGTATTACATATTACTATTACAATAATACTAGATAGTCAGTATTGCCCTTACAATAATAAAATAAAGTCAGTATTACCTATTACTATTACAATAATACTAGATAGTCAGTATTGCCCTTACAATAATAAAAGGTCAGTATTACAATAATAAAAGGTCAGTATTACCTATTACTATTACAATAATACTAGATAGTCAGTATTGCCCTTAAAATAACAGTAGATCAGTATTACCTTCACAATATTACTAAACAGTCTGTACTACCCTTACAATATTAATAGATAGTCTTTATTTCAATTACGATAATACTAGAAAGTCAGTTTTGTCCTTACAATAATAAAATAGGGTCAGTATTACCGACTATTTCAGTAGTACTAGGCAGACAGTATTATCCTTACAATACTACTAGGTAGTAAGTATTTAATTTAAATAGTAGCAGGTAGAGAGTATTGCATGTACAAGAAGCTGCTAGTCAGTATTGCTGCCTTACTCTCTATAAAACTATCAATATGACTCCATTACCATGGTCACCCTTACAATAAAACTAGTTTGTCTGGATCACCCTTATAATATAACTAGGTTGTCTGGATCACCCTTACAATACAACTAGATTGTCTGCATCACCCTTACAATAAAACTAGTTTGTCTGGACACCCTTACAATATAGCTAGATTGTCTGGATCACCCTTACAATATAACTAGTTTGTCTGGATCACCCTTACCATATAACTAGTTTGTCTGGACCACCCTTACAATATAACTAGTTTGTCTGGATCACCCTTACAATATAACAAGGTTGTCTGGATCGTCCTTACAATATAACTCGGTTGTCTGGATCAACCTTACAATATAACACGTTTGTCTGGACCACCCTTACAATATAACAAGGTTGTCTGGACCACCCCTACAATAAAACTAGTTTGTCTGGACCACCCTTACAATAAAACTCGGTTGTCTTTATATTCACCCTTACAATAAAACTAGATTGTCTGGATCACCCTTACAATATAACTAGTTTGTCTGGACACCCTTAGAATATAATTAGATTATCTTTATTTTCATCCTTACAATATAATTAGATAATCTAGACCCCCTTGCAGCAGTACTAGATTGTCTTGATCATCCTTAAAATAGAACTAATTTTCCTTCCTTTCTAGATTTTTCTCATTGTTTATAACAAATATCTCAGCTCTATACAATCAAGGCCACGACATACCATCAGACCGCCCCCGGTTCGTTACATACGTGCGGGGTCGAGAATGAAATCACTCTACGACATTCATTTCAGGTTCGACCGTTATCAGCTGTTCCTGTTTACCTTTCTGTGTGTATCTGGCCATAATTATACAATCATTAGCCTCATTTCTGGCTTCCGACAGCGGAACAAATACATTCAGCTATACACACAGACAACGCATGATAGATTTGAAACTAAAGTGACATTGTGAACGCCTAGTCTTAAATCAACCAACAGCATTTCTTCAATTGAAGATAAGATGGAATTCTAATTCTAATTAACATTTATAATTGCTGATTGCAACATGCCCGTTCTCTCGGAACTTTATACTCAGAAACGTCTTCTACTTCATGGAACAAACTGTTGATCAAGTTATTCCGCCCAGGTGCGCGCTTACGTCACAATTCTACTGTAATACGTTACACACTCATGATAAGCGATGTAATTAGCTGAATAGGGATAGGTTCTTTTCAATATAGAACCCTTAATTATAGGATTAAAATCAAAATCAGGCTCTTGGAGGATATTTTCTGTAAAATTATTTACGGATATTTATTTTTTTGGGGGATTCATTTCACTAATTTGATCATATCATTCATTATTATGTAAGGAAAAGAGAAATTAAGGACACCAATGTGAGTTAAATGTACTGGAATCGTCAGCTAGGATTAATCAAGACTTTCTAATGGTATGGCGATTACCTACATTGACAAGAAAGTATTAGCTATATACACTGTAAATGTACTGTAAACCAATGGTATCTACCGAGAATGAGAATGTGACGCTTGTAATTGAATAGAAAAAAATGCAAGAATGAAAAAACTAACAAAATATATAGTCCTTTTTCAAAGTCCCCAAGAAGATTAAAGCTAACAAAGCTGAAAAAAAGATGGGAAGGATATATCGGTCATAGCTAATTGTCTAATGTAAAAACATTGGAATTTTATCACACTTTAGGATGGGGGAAAATCGGTTCTTAAAAATAGGACTTCAATTAATTGTATTCTCAAACAAAACTGAAAGGAAAACACATTCTATAGACTTATTACATTTCCTAGCAAGTACAGCACATTAAAACATAGATCTTACGTGAAGATAGAAGAGAAAAGAGAGAACAGCACAACATGTATGTAACAATCGCAAAACTGGCAGGGACAATGATCGACCCCAAAGATACTTCAGACTAATTGTCTGAAAAAATGTTGATAGCAAGTTATATATCATGAAAAGAAGAACCGAAATGAGAACGAAAAGAAAAAACAATTACAAGAGTAAAAAAGAAACATGCAGCCTTCAAACATGGTACATTTGTAACAACACTGATTTCTTTTACTGACCAATCCCCCTCCCATCTTAATTCCGATACGTTATGATGAAATCGATCTGGGTAACCAACATAGAATCTCGGACTAACTTCTCTTTAATTCATAGTGATGATGACATTCTACATTTAACAGTATCAAAACAAGAATGAGAAAGATGAACTAGAATCGGTTATAACAACAATCGAGCCAGATATACGTGTAATGTGTCGATTAAGTCGAGATAGGCAGATCCATCACGCCGACAACTATATTCCACATTTTTTGAAAATGCAACAAAAAATATCCATAGTCCTTGACATATAAGAGACTCAAGATTTGATGAATTTACAATCTCTGTAGCGTTAGAAAGGAAGATATGTTGGCCATACGCTGTATATATAGAAACCTTATAACAAGAACCGAAAGATAGAACAATACAAAGTATGTAGAGCACAACTTTGCGATAGGATCGCACGTTTCGTGCTGTATGGTAAAAACAAAAACTGATGGCTGGTATTATGGATTGAGAATTAAATGTAAAACACGTGTAATTCAAACTAAATAGCGATCAGAGGCGTATCAAAAATGATCGGTAATTATAAAAGTTATTTTTAATTTGACAATTTGACAGTTTCGAAATAACACTGTATACTGCAATAATTAGTCTTTTTATCATATATAGGGTTAACATCTATGAGTACGGCGAGTGTGTGCCTCGAGCAACAAAAATACCTATTTACGGAAATATACGTGACAGGTCCGGATCCATACTAAGTACTTCAGATAGAGTTATACAAAAGTAACGAGGAAAATAAATTGTCGTATCTGACGTTATAGGATTTTAGACGATTCATTGCCAGTACATAAGGAGTCGTCCATTTAATGTTTATATATGATGTAAGGAGATGATCGACATGTTGTGAACCTTTTATTGAAGAAGTTAAGCAGGGGTGTCCCTTGTCAACTCTACTCTTCCCTGACTAAGGCTGTGAACTCGAAGTCTGGTGTCATTTAGTCAGTTTATATCGAACAGGTATCAATCTAAGGAAACAAAGCAAAGGACTTTTGCAATATAGACAAATTGCTGAAAGAACAATGATTCAATATTTGCTTAAAAAAGATCTAGTACCTAAGAGTATTCATACTGATGTGGTAGCAACACTAGGGAATGATGTCCCTCATGCTTCAGTGGAAAGGTGGTTGGCGGAATTTAAGCGTGGCAGGCAGAGCCTTGAGGATGACGCCCGTCCTAGGAGGCCTGAAACTCTTGCAACCACAGAAATGGGCAATACAGTCAATGCTGTTGTTTTGGCTGACAGGTGAGTTACGTAGAAATGTATAGCCAGTACAGTTGTGATCTTGCAATGAGAAAGCTCTCAGCCAATTTGGTACCAAGTCTGCTCCATCAGCTGAAAAGGTTATGACCCCGATTTTCTGTGATGCTGATGGTATTTTGATAGTACAATATCTACAAAAGGGACAAACAAATGGCAGCACCATAATGGCTGCCATTAACGATTGTGGCTTTGAATTGATTGAAAATCCGCTTTATTTTTAACGGTTAAGAAAAGGACTTCTTTAAAAGTGACACTGAGGACCTTAAACATCGCTGACAAAAGTGTATAAACACGGAAGGGGATAATGTTGAAAAGTAATACAATATGTCCGCCAAAAGTCAAACCCTTAAATATGAGGCTCATCACTTATAAATCAGCCCTCGTATATACATGGTGCATTGAGTGTCTGGTACACTGAAGTATATAGCTAATCAGTTAGTATTTGCTAGATCTATATATGTCATACTTATAGATTAATGACTTAATCAGGAAATATGCTTAATTGGATTCTAATAAATTTGGAAAATAAATAAAACCTATTCCACACTTACTTATAAATTATTTATAAATCACGATAGAGTTACACATCTGTGTGGTGTGCAATAGCCTATTTCGTCCAGTTTTTCTATCGTGTGCACGTCATGCAGACATCTTTTGTACATTGTGTAACTTTATTACTCTACAAATTTACGTGGTTAATTAAATTATATCCCTACTTTATGTTTTTCAATTAAAAAAGACGGTAAGACATATGATAAACAAAAACAGGTGTGATTCGCGTCAATCTAACGAGACGTGATGGTACATGTGGCGGAGCGTGTTACCGAACGTGCAAACAATGAGCAAAAACACTTTCTGCAAATACGTGCCTTTGGTTACATTTAACATTTTGATCCCGAATTTATTCGACTACCGAGGCATTACGTTATATCCTCCCGATGCTTACACTATTGTTAAATTGTTGTATTAATACTGGCCAACAGTGTGGAATTCAACTGTTCCACACATCATTGTAAATATTGGGATGATTTCAAGTGTCGACTTATAATGTTGAATCTGTGTATAAACGTCTAGTGTTAATGGGATGATTTGACTTCTCCTGTCGTATAAGAGTAATGTCTGTTAGCTAATCCTGCAGACCTTTGTATACACAAACACTATGTGATGACTGGCGATGAAGTCTCCCTTTGTAAACACTGTGATTAAACGGTTATACGGTTTTTCATGATCCGTTTTAAGTCTCTTGGAAACTGTTTACATTAGCAATGTTTACAAATCGTGAAAACTACACTTCTAAATTTTGTGTGTAGACTAGTAGTTTGATATGTAAACGTTGTGTAACTAGCAGTGCTTCCTAATAAAGTTGACTACAATGTGTGAACTTAATGTGTAAATTTTGTGTTTAATCTAGCAGTGATAACTGATACAGTTCACTACAATGTGTAAACTTAATGTGTAAATTTTGTGTTTTTAATCTAGCAATGATAACTGATAAAGTTGACTACAATGTGTACACTGGATGTGTAAATATTGTGTCTTCACTAGCATTGCTGACTGATATTGTTGAAAAAAGTATTAAAGACTAACAGTTTTAATACTTGTATATACTACATGCGTTAACCTTATTTGTAGACTAAAATGACTTACTTCTGTTTTCTATAGTAGAATATGAAGGTTACAATAGCCACCAGCACTAGAGCTCCCAACACGCCTCCTACAATGGCTGGCCAGTAGTCCATAGCATCTTTGGAAACTGTTGGATTCAAACCAGCATCGGTCGTTGTTTCTGTTGTTATTTTGTAGTCTATGGACGGTGTTACGTGTCTGATGTCAGCGCCGTCCTTATTGGTACTGAGTGTGCTACCACTTAGAATGTTTGTTGAACTTCCGTTGCTATTTTCAACGTTTTTTGGACTGGTGCTAATTTGACTCCCGATGCTACTTTGTATGTTAATTTGATTTCCGGTGCTACTTTGTATGTTAACTGAACTTCCGGTACTTCTTTGTATATTACTTGGACTTCCGGTGCTACTTTGGATGCTGACCTGGGTGCTGCCTCCCAAATTCAATTCGTTTTCTTTGGTAGCAGTAGTAGTTGATGAGGAATTCAACACGTGGATATGAGATCCTGTACCAGAGTCTACTTCATGCATAGTGTACGTAGGCTGTTTTGTACTGATTTCGATATTTTCTCTTGTCGAACTATCTATATTCTGGACTAACGTAGATGTTAATGAGATATTCGGCATTGATGTACTTGTCGTATGCAAACTATTTGAGGTAGATGAATCATGAATGTTTGATGTTCCCGTCGTAATCGCTGATAAACTTTCATTGACATTATTGGGGGCCGAAGACGCTGTCGTTTTGAAGTGATGTATGATGGCATTATTTGTTACGGAGGACATGCTCTGTGTTCCTAATGAATCCGTCGACTTTGTGGTTACGGATGGTGGCGAGGTAGAAATGGTTATATTGTCAGGAGTGCTTAAACTACCATTAGTAGTGGTTCCTATACGCTGTGTTGTAGAGCCTCCGTTGGCTTCTACAGTAGTTCTATCAGTAAACGGTGTTGTATCATTTTCGCATAACTCGGATTGACTTCCGTTGTCGTTTCCGTTCCCTGTGCTTTGCGGCTTTCGAGTAAATCCGCATTGCTTGTTCGTCGTTCCCCTCGGTGTTGTCGTCGACAACAACATCCAATCAGTGACACCAGTATGTCCAGGGTTAAATGGTGTGTCTGGACATTCCTCGTTATTAGGGTAAACTAGACAGTCGATTGAACAATTTTGGCCATAATAGTACGGATCACAACCATACCGGAACACCATCCGCAGTCTGAAATACAAAGCACAATCTCAAAATATCATTGATTGGACTTCATGACGAACATTTCAAAGTGTAATTAGTTCGTGAAGAAATACATAGAATTAGGCAAGATATAATTCGATGAACAACAGCATACGTACATAGAGCTCAATGTGTTACATATGTAGATGTACCTTACATTTTGTTCTTCGTCACATTTACAAGTTTCGGGTGGGATTACATGTTATATGTATATGTTCAATCGTCTTTATTTACAATAACCTTCTAGAATCACAACGTGGTGTACTTTGAAGTACATGTACTAACTACATTTTACCACATATAGGCAACACATTTAGTTTCTTTAGCTTGATTTAACATAGATTATAACATGCACCAAACGTTTGGTGGCGTGTACGTATACAACACACACACACATATGAATACAAAGCATTTCTGTATCCTGAAACTAAATAAGTGATATTTTCACATTCATCCCAACGTGATCGCTAGAGTACAATGGGGAACATCATATCACACAAATAATGATTAGGTGGCCTAGCTATACAACACCCGCTGTACGATAAGAACTGAAACACTCGCATGCTTAACCAAAAATCGGTATTACTTCTATAATGTAAAACAAAAAATTCATTTGAATTCAAAATAAATATCTTGACAGGAAACAGGTAACTCTTATCAAAACAGAAGGGGGAAATTGTCTGGATTCCGTTATCTGATCTGGTGTACAAATATTTGCTTTCGTGCATTAATAGGCAAACATGGCGAACATGCCACGACCGTGAACCGAGGTTTCTATCTAGTCAGTATACACAAGCGGTTTATTTTCACAAGAGGCATGTGCCCAAATAAAAGGAATGTGAATGAAGCACAAGAGTATATAACGATACAGACGATCAAATGGTGACGATATATAGACAGTTTTAGGTTTAAATGAATCAAATAATATATCTGTAGAGTCTTATCCATACAGAAAAATATTTTACCGTCGAGTTCATTTCATAACATGTTCACGAGGTTTCTTCGATGAGCCGAATTCGAGTGTAACATATGGTAGCAGGCTAGCGCATTTGTAGTTACCGGCCATATTAAACATCGTTACATGTAGTGTTGTTCATGAAATGTTGGCTACATTTGGCCGAAAACGTCGTTATCGTCAATAACAAATACTGACAACAATGTGTTCCCTTCAATAGATAATCAAGATATTTACAGATCTGTTTTGATTGTAGGACTATTACATGTTCTATACTTACTTGGAAGGATTTTTCGATCGTTGACCAGTCTGTTCCATGTATATGAAATCCAGGGATGGACCATCGTGACTGAAACTAAAATGGAACTTGTCAACAAGTTCCGGAGCTGCGGTCTCGGCATCATTTTCATCAATGTCATAGACATCGACTGTTATGTTTACATGTCCCTGGAAGACAACATGTATCAGAGCATAAAACTGTTTTGTTAGATACATGCACATTTGTTTTGGTGTGAAATTATAACTTATGCTGTAACACAGTAATTGAGACATGCACTTGGTTTAGGCTGACTTACCGTCCACTTGCCGAAGTCAAAGGTCATGGGATTAATAACTCCTTCGTAAGACGTTGGAAACAAAATGGCGTTGTCGTTGTCTATTGGAACTTCAGATGGACGTTTCCCACTGGAAGGGTCACTGGAACAAAAAAAGTTTTGTTGACTTACTTAGTAATCAATTAAGAGATGCAGTAACAATGTAACTATAAGACAATGCCAAAGTCACACAATCATATATTAGTACAGTTTTATCTCAAACGGAATCCGTCAAAATCCAGATGTCACGTACCGGGTGGTACAGTATCTTGTCACGGCTTTACCATAATCATATATCGTTCTCGAATACAAATATATCAGATGCACAATAGATTATCTTACATAAGAATTTCTTACAGCCATGTGAATACTTGTTTTACCTGGTCTGTTTGTAAGAGGGAATCATTTTAACACCCCCCACCACCCAAACCCCACCCAGTTGTGTTATATCCTTTGATCTCCAAATAAACTATTCGTTTCGAATCTAGTCCGAGGGCACAGACACTCATAAGGCTTGAAAACCTTTCCAAAATTTAACTTAATCAGTCGAGCATATTTCAATATCGACCCAACACACAACTTACCTGTCAATTCCTTTAACCGAAACCTCGAAAACAAGATCGCAGAAGTCCAGACATCCTGTTTCTGTCATCCGTCCGTCACAGCATTCTCCGTTGTAGTTGAAATTTTGTAGATTGGCAAAACCGAGAAAGCCAACAAAAAACTGACCATTTGGGGACACAACTTTCACCTGTGATTTAATAGTAATAGACTATTGTTAAAAAGCATTAAATATTATATATATCTATTCTTAATAAACGCAATGAGACGGCATAAGACATGTACATTATTCTCCGCAATGAGAGTATGATAACAATTGAAATCCCTGTAGAGGGGACATATATTGCTGACTAATTCAGATACACAAACTACTTACGATTTTGCTCAGTTTCATTTTTATTTTTGTGCCAACATTCTGTATAGAAATTCGTAAACATCGACCTACATACACCAAAAATTGTCTTTTCAGACCTCGCAGCTTGATTCGAAAAACGCGAATCATCATGTTCTATTGGTAACTAGTATTACATATATTGATCATAAATCATTAAACACACAGAAACCATAATATGTACATCACATCATAAACTTTAACTTTATCAACACGTGAACATTTATACATCGTAGGCCTTGTTTTTGGATTATATATGCATCATGGAAGAAAAAAACAAAGGGGAAATATTTGTTGGAAGCCCTATCGGCGCCTCAAGTTCAAGAGATCCGACGCTAATTCGCTAAGCCAGGAAAAACTACCTTTCTACAGGATCATAACACTTGACCCCGCCACTCCAAAGTTTAAACTGCTCAACAAATGTCAACAAGGTGTCTATAATGGAAGTTGTTCTTGGTTAAAAGGTGTTGAATTATAGCGGTTTTATCGTCTGATAAAGCAATAATTCAATCATTATATTGACAGTGGTACTCATCAACATCTTATGTGTGTAGACAGTATTTACGTATATACCTGACAGAATTCAAGAGAAGCCAACTCCATTTAAATACAATCATTATTTTCTGACTACTTGGGCACTCTATAAACTTGACTTGTTCTTCCTAATTATGGCAGTCGATTATTTATGCCCTGAGCAAGTTCAAACTTCACCTATACGTTGTACGTCGTAACAACTGGGACATATTGCGTGTTTTGAACAAGAAGCCCGTCACCAAAAATCGTTGACATGTCTACCGTAGATACCCGTTACCAGGAACCTATCAGATATGGTGTCATCCCGCGGGCTGTAGCCTTTGCAATGGAGACTTTATCACATCTACTTCTGATAAATAGTCAGGCGACGACGAGGAATGTTCAGTGAGGATGATGACGAATTTTCTAGGGGGTGTGATTACTTGGTGTGAAAGAGTCAATTACAACGGGCAGTGACGATAGATTCTAGAGGACGTGTACCGTAACATGGATTCTAGGGTAATATGAGATACAAATGTATGTCATACCAGGTCTGACTAAGGTCGGATCCCTAATAACAAGGCTGACTCAGGTCACTTCTCTAATACCAGGGCGTGACTTTGTCCGTTGAATATCTGACTCATACAGATATTGATACTATTTAATTAAAACACAATACACATATCTTTTGTTTCCAATAAGACAAACCCTATAGATAATTATTTATCAAACTGCAGCAATATCTCGGATATCAACAATGACTACTAGTACTGAAAGTCAATGCCTTGTAACCATTACAGCAAAATAACTCCAGGTAATGTCAAATGAAAACTACGTGTTTGCTACATCTTAGTGTTTCTGTCGTATCGTGTTACGCGTGATTGATTTGATATATCAATATATAGATGTGGGAATGTAGTTAAACTGTCAATAATACAAGAATAGAGCATGCCAGTTCAGTGTAGCTTACCCCTACTGCTGGCTGATAAACGCTTGCTAGATGTGGTCACTACTTACTAGCTCTTGCTATATACTTACGTAAATAGCATACCAGTCCGCTATTCCCTCTCAACAATATATAATAACGTTTCGCTACTTTTATAGAGAAAATATGGCCAGTATATTAAACCTTAAGTTGTATTTTAGCGAGGTTACAGAAAGAGAAAAGTTGTATCCTGAAACACTTTAAAATTCAGATTTCAATAAGCTGTTGTTAAATCATTGTTTTTTTTTTTCGTTTACTTCTACTGGGTGTTTCCTGGTACATACGTCAAAGCATAAGTTTCACACTTCAATAGATACAAAAAGCAATTTCATGAATTTTCGTAAATAAACTTGTTTGTTACAAGACATGAAAACGTTTATTTAGACAGCTATTTATATTTTCAAACTTAATACTTTAAAATAATCAGCAAGTCATTCTGTTGAATTAATACGCGTGCACAATCATTATAAAATACAATCGTTTTCCCGTCACTTTCAATACAACAACGCTGTATGTGGTAGGAACGTTCAGACAACGAAGATGTACACGTATTATGTTTAATTTTACTGCTGGCAGTCTGCTGCTGAAGCTGCTAATCACTCCATCAACCCTGTAATGTATTTATAAGTAATTGATGTTATGTAATTGTGTATGGGTTCTGCGATAAAGCCGTATTTGAATAGACAGTCGGACGTAAAAAGTGTAACTTAGGTAACGGCAATTTACAATTTTATAATGTACATTTGTGTTCCCTTCTTGACATAAGATAAACGCTACATTCACGTAACATGCATTGCCCAAGACACATGATTCGTAATAGTTTTCGTTCATGGAAACATTTATTTTCTTGACTTCTTCATGTCCATAAATCGTTCCAGCCTCCTTGTCCTGAACAGAGAACTTGGTCACGCTGTTTATCCTATGTAAAGTTTGATAAAATCCTGGTAAACATTGAAGAGTTAAACGCGATAAGATCAATAGACACATGCTAGTACTGCCTTACTGCCGTTGAGCTCGTGAATACAAGCTGAAGGACCCGGACACAATCTGCTGTACACATATATACTTATTATTAAACACAGCAGATAACCTTAGGAAAATAATGTTTAAAATATCGGTGTTTATGGAATGATCAGAATTTTTAACTTTAACAAAACTATCCGCTTCGTTTCCCTAGTGGCAGCGATGATAGGTATAACCGGAAGCAACTGATTATGAAATAAGGACGGATCGAAGGATCGAAGGATTTCTCATTTAAAAGCACACATACACATATAACGAACACAAGTGTTATGAAGACGATATTGATGGGTTATGTTATGAGTGATGTTATGGGGTTACCAGCTGTGGGGTCTTCAGTGAAAATCGAAAATGTACATGAATGTCTCTGGCAATATCTGTACATCAAAAAGACAGCTCAAATTGATAAAGACAACGAACTTTCATCTTACACATGATTCCACAAAACCATTAGGTATTGCCACGTGGTGTCATTGCATTACCTACTCAATACTTAATGAATGACAATCGCTGAAGATAACGGAGTTACACACAGTGCGTAATTCAATATGTGACGTATTAATCTATATCGATTGATATGTTTATATCAGCGTTTACAACATACTCCCTTGATATAACCTATCTAGTTTTACTCTCAAAACACCACTACTGAATCACTACATACTCCCAAAACACCATTACTGTATCGTCAGGTACTCCCAAAACATCACTAAAGAATCACTACATACTCTCAGGACACCACTAATGTATCACCAAAATACTCTCAAGACACATGCTAATAAATTATCAGATACACTACTAAATCACCAGACTCTCAAAGCACCACTTCTCAATCACCAGATACTCTCAAAGCACCACTACTCAATCACCAAATACTCTCAAGACACATGCTAATAAATTATCAGATCAAGACACACACTACTAAATCACCAGATACTCTCAGGACACACACTACTAAATCACCAGATACTCTCACGACACACACAACTAAATCACCAGATACTCTCAAAACACCACTACTGTATCACCAGATACTCTCAAAACACCACTACTGTATCACCAGATACTCTCAAAACACCACTACTGTATCACCAGATACTCTCAAAACACCACTACTGTATCACCAGATACTCTCAAGACACACACTACTAAATTACCAGATACTCTCAAAACACCACCACTGTATCACCAAGTACTCCCAAAACATCACTACTGTATCACCAGATACTCTCACGACACACACTACTAAATCACCAGATACTCTCAGGAACACACTACTAAATCACCAGATACTCTCAGGACACACACTACTGTATCACCACACTCACTAAATCACCAGACACACACTACTGTATCAGGACACCAGATACTCTCAGACACACACTACTAAATCACCAGATACTCTCAACACACACTACTGTATCACCAGATACTCTCAGGACACACACTACTGTATCACCAGATACTCTCACTGTATCACCAGACACACACTACTGTATCACCAGATACTCTACTCTCAAAACACCACTACTGTATCACCAGATACTCTCAAAACACCACTACTGTATCACCAGATACTCTCAAAGCACCACTTCTCAATCACCAGATACTCTCAAAGCACCACTACTGTATCACCAGATACTCTCAAAGCACCACTACTGTATCACCAGATACTCTCACGACACACTCTCAAAACACACACTACTGTATCACCAGTATCACCAGATACTCTCACCAAACACACACTACTGATACTCTCACTGTATCACCATATACACACACTACTGTATCACCAGATACTCTCAAAGCACCACTACTGTATCACCAGATACTCTCAAAACACCACTACTGTATCACCAGATACTCTCAGGACACACACTACTAAATCACCAGATACTCTCAGGACACACACTACTAAATCACCAGATACTCTCAGGACACACACTACTAAATCACCAGATACTCTCAGGACACACACTACTAAATCACCAGATACTCTCAAAACACCACTACTGTATCACCAGATACTCTCAAAACACCACTACTGTATCACCAGATACTCTCAGGACACACACTACTGTATCACCAGATACTCTCAGGACACACACTACTGTATCACCAGATACTCTCAAACACACGCTACTAAATCACCAGATACTCTCAGGACACACACAACTATATCACCAGATACTCTCAGAACACACACTACTGTATCACCAGATACTCTCAAAGCACCACAACTATATCACCAGATACTCTCACGACACACACTACTGTATCACCAGATACTCTCAGGACACACACTACTAAATGACCAGATACTCTCATGACACACACTACTGAATCACCAGATACTCTCAGGACACACACTACTAAATCACCAGATACTCTCACGACACACACTACTAAATCACCAGATACTCTCAAAACACCACTACTGTATCACCAGGTACTCCTAAAACACCCCTACTGTATCACCAGATACTCTCAGAACACACGCTACTAAATCACCAGATACTCTCAAAACACCACTACTGTATCACCAGATACTCTCAACACACACACCAGATACTCTCAAACACACACTACTGTATCA